AACAAGAAAGCCAGCAGCATGTTAGTTGTCCACCCTCTCTGCACGCCAGGAGTAAGCCAGTAGTGAACTCAGCCAGGCCCGCCCTCTCAGAGCACCGGGAGTATGCCAACAGCAATATCGGTCAGGCCCTCCCTCTCCACGCTCTGGGAGTAAGCCAGCGCCTTTTTGCATGCACAGTTCTCTGTACCTTCACTGTTCCTGAAGTTCAGCATGCCTTCTCTCTCCTTCCCAGATGGCAGAGCCTCCTCTCAGCTAGCTGTCTGGTGCTTCAGGGCAATGCCTTCCCTGTTTTCCAGTTCTAAATTCAAATTTGTTGTGGTAGGCTGTATTCAGGTGTCTGCCCTATGCTGCCATCTTGGTTTCTCGACAGTACCAAATGTTAATGAGAATGTGGAGCAATTGGTCCTTTCTTCCATTGCTGATGGCAATGCAAGTGGTATAGCAACTTTGGAAAAACATTTGTTTGGAAAAACATAAGGGTAAACAAACATATACTTACCATACAACTCAACATTTCTACTCCCAGTTATTTACCCAGTGAAATTAGAATTTATGTTGATTTCTTTTTTTTTTTTTTTAAACAACTCTATCAAAATATAACTCACATACCATACAACTGAACTTTTAAAGTATAACATTCAATTGGGGGAAAAAAACATATGTAAAACTTTAGACAATAAAAAAAAATTCATCTGCCAAAACCGGTTTGGCTCAGTGGATAGAGCTTCAGCCTATAGACTGAAAGGTCCCAGGTTTGATTCCGGTCAAGGGCATGTACCTTGGTTGCGGGCACATCCCCAGTAGGGGGTGTGCAAGAGGCAGCTGATTAATTCTTCTCTCTCATCAAAGTTTCTAGCTCTCTATCTCTCTCTCTTCTCTCTGTAAAAAATCAATAAATATATATATATATTTTTTAAAAAGAATCAACCAATGAATGCTTAAATAAGTGGATCAATAATGCACTTACTTTGTTTAAAAAAATAAAAAATAAATAAATAAAGTATAAAATTCAGTAGGAGCTGGACCGCAGTGCTGCAGGCTGAGTGTGGCGACCCCTGCAGGAAGAAGATGAACGAGACTTGGGGTTGGTGTACCCTGGTGGACGTGTACCTGGAGCAGCAGACCACAGGGGGAAGAAAGACCTATGCCATGGTGTCTGGCCACTCACCCAATCATTCTCTGGCCTCAGAACTGGTGGAGTCCAATGATGGACATGAGGAGATCATTAAGGTGTTCTTGAAGGGGAGGTTTGGAGACAAGATGATCCATGAGAAGAATATTAACCAGCTGAAGAGTGATGTCCAGTACATCCAGGAGGCCAGGAACTGTCTGCAGAAGCTCCAGGAGGATATAAGTAGCAAGCTCATCAGAGATCCAGGAGAGTCTCACCATCGACAGGAAATACAGGTGGTGCTAGAGAGGCCAAATGGTTTTAGTCCAAGTCCTACGGCGACCCTGTATAGCAGCCCAGCAGAGGTGGCCATCTATATGAACGAAGATGTCAAGAGTTTGAGGAAGACGGTGCGGGACTTGCTGGCCAAGCTGCAGGAGGCTGAGCAGCAGCCCCAGGCAGACCATGTGGCTTTTGAGGTCACACTTCAGATGATACCAGAGAGAAGCCGAGCAGAATCATGGGGCCCTCCAGAGATCAGAGGACAGAGCAGAGCAGAAAGAGGTGGAAATCAGAGAGCTGCAGAGGCGCTTGCTCCAGATGGAGACAGAGCATCAGGCCTTACTGGAGAAGGACAAGGAAGGGGAGGCAGCCCTGGAGGAACTTCAGAGCAAGAATGCTGACTGCCAAGCAGAACAGGAAAGGCTGCTAACCTGGAAAAGGAAGTGGCTGGGTTGCGGGAGAAGATCCACCACTTGAATGACATGCTTAAGAGCCAGCAGCGGAAAAGCATGGCAAATGATAGAGCAGCTCCAGAATTCCAAAGCTGTGATCCAGACAAAGGACACCAGCATCCAGGAGCTCAAGGAGAAAATGGCCTACCTGGAAGCAGAGAATTTAGAGGTGCATGACCGACAGAGAAGGAACACCTGATAGAGAAGCAGGCCAGTCATGCCAACTTCAGCACCTAGACCTGGGCCAAGACCGAGAACCTGGGCAGCGTTAGGATAGCCAAACTGCCCAGCCCTAAGCCCATGCCTCTCATCCGAGTGGTGGAAACATGAGCTGAGAAGGAGGAGGATACTGTTGCTGCTGCCTCTCGCCTGTGGAGAAACTCGCCACCCCTGTTGGCCTAGCACTGACTTGAACTTCCTGACCCATCCCTGGCTGGCCGCAGGGCGTGGGGCTGTGGCCCCATTTCTGAGCTCCTGTCCTGGGTGTGCTGGGTGGAAAGCGGATGAGTGCCTCCTCTGGACACTGCAGCCCTTGGTGGACAATAGCCTGCTGGCAGGAGCCAGGGTGATACCCTTATGCCTGTAGTTACTGTTTTTCTCTTAGCAGAGCCTCCCTTGTGTTGTAGACTGGGTCCAGCTGCCCCGGGCCCTCAGCCAGTCGGGAGAAGTGAAGAGATGACAAGATTTGCCTCAGCTCTAGAAGATGGACACACACATGTTGGAGAGTGTCCCGGGGGAACCAAGAGCCTCACAAAACACAGTGCAGTTCTTGGCAACAAACTGTTTTTCTACCGGTTCCACCCTCAGCTCGTGCTGACCCAGGTCTCCTTCAGCTTCCACTGAAGCCTGTTCTTCTGAGGAGAAGGGGATGTATACTCAGGGTGTAGCTTTGAGCAGAAAGATTGTGTAGGGCTACAGTTACATGTGATTTCTCTGCTTTGAAGACTTCCAAAAAGTCTCAAGGATTCACCTAGGACAGTGGTTGGCAAACTCATTAGTCAACAGAGCCAAATATTAACAGTACGATTGAAATTTTTTAAAAAATACATTTCATTTTATTTTTTAATATATTTTATTGATTTTGCACAGAGAGGAAGGGAGAGAGATAGAGAGTTAGAAACATCAATGAGAGAGAGTCATCGATCAGCTGCGTCTTGCACACCCCCCACTGGGGATATGCCTGCAACCAAGGTACATGCCCTTGACCGGAATCGAACCCAAGACCCTTCAGTCCCCAAGCCGATGCTCTATCCATTGAGCCAAACCGGTTTCGGCTGAAATTTCTTTTGAGACCAAAATTTTTAAACGTAAACTTTTAACGCCACTTCTTCAACATAGACTCGCCCATTTTGTGGAAGAGCCACAGTTAAGGGGCCAAAAAGCTGCATGTGGCTCGAGAGCCGCAGTTTTCCAACCACTGCCCTAAGATGTGGTACAAGGTGTACCTCAGTCATCTTGACTGACGTAGAGCTTAAACTCTATTTTCACTGGGTTACATCAATCTCAGCGAGGCTCTCATTGTATTTATTTTGCTAAGTTATTGGTGTTTTTGCTTATATCTCACAACTGATTCAGTAACTGAGCTCTACAGCCTTCTCTTGTGCTGCTTGGATTGCCTCGACACTGGGAAAAGTGTCCCCACTGGACTTCATTGTTATAAATCTTCTCTTTCCTCTACCGGCTTCTTGTCTTTCTCCTCCACACCTGATCGGTACCTAGGGAACGCAAGTATGTTTGCCCCGAGACATCAGGTCTGGATGTATATTTGGGGGAAGAGGGTGATCAGGACTCTTGGGGAGGAATCAAATTCTTCCCGGATCCCCTCCACACCCCTGTGCTTCCTGTGGGTCTGTTGTCCTCCTGGCTCTGAGCGACCCTGCCATTCTAGTGTTTTGGTTAGGGCTCCTCCTGTAGCACCAAGAGGGAGAAAAGCCTCAGTGGTACGATAGGGCACAGAAAAACAAAAAATAAATGAGGATGAAGTCTTTAGGTTCTCTTTGGTTCAAGACCAGAGCCTAAGTCTGGGTGGAAATTTGAGTTGTTTCCAACTTTTTGGCTATTATGAACAATGCTGCTATGAACATTCATGTACAAATATTTGTGTGGACATAAGTTTTCATTTCTTTTGGGTATAGATCTAGCAGAGGAATTGTTGGGTCATATGGTAATTCTATGTTTAAACTTTTTGGGGAACTGAAAAAGTTTTCCAAAGCGGCTGTTCTATTTTTGCATTCCTACCAACAATGTCGGAGTGTTCCAGTTTCTCCACATTCTTGTCCACATTTTATTTGCATTGCAGCTATCCTAGGGGCTGTGAAATGGTATCTCATTATGCTATTGATTTGCATTTCCACAAAATGATGTTCTGTGTTTTTTCATGTATTTATTGGCCATTTATACATCTTCTTTGGGGAAAAAATGTCTCTTTAAATCCTTTTCCCATTTAAGCCCTGCCAGGTAGCTCAGTGATTAGAGCATCATCCTGATACACCAAGGTTGCATTTTGATCTCCTATCAGGGCACTTACAAGAATCAACCAATGAATGTGTAAACAAGTGGAACAACAAATCAATGTTTCTCTCCTCTCTTTTCCTCTCTAAAAAAATAACCAATCAATAAATGCTGGAAACTAAATCAGTATCACTGAAAAAGAGATGTTGACAGGAAGCCAGGAAGGCTGGTCAACAACCTTAATTGCTCTAACCTTTAGTTGAGATTTTGTTACCTGAAGCAGAATCTACCTTGTCCATGAAAGTTTCTGTTATTTCCTGCCTAAGGGCTACATGTAAATTTCTATTTATGTTGCCTAAAATGTCTTCCCCAAAGCCTCAATAAAAGGGATGGCAGGGCCAGAGCAGGAGTAGTTCTACCACTAGAGTTGGACTACCGCCTGGCCCCCCAAATCGCCAAATTGAATTTCTTCAAGTCTCTTTTCATTTGTGTGCGGCCCTTCTCCAGAACCTGAACCCTGAATTGGAACTCTTTCTACGCGGGCTGTGAAAGAGAGTCCTATAAATAAAAAATAATTTAAAAATCCTTTTTTCTATTAAAATAGATTGTTTTTATTATTTTAATTATTGAGTTCTAATAAATAAATAAATAGATTAAAATCACTGTGTGACCTTAAGGAAGTGTTCTCTGGGCCTCAATTTTCTCACCAAGAAAATAAAGGGACCCTTCCTAGCCATGGAGGAGCATTTTTTTTATTTATTGGCAAAGCTGTCACCATTTAATTGGTATCAGATTCTGACTTGCACAAGTAACATTCTTCACTTTTAAAACCCTGGAGGGTGCCGGGTTATTGCACAAAGTTCTATTTCTCAAATGTTTCTGCTAAGTTTAACTAATTGTTTCAATCGGTGATGGAAAACAAGGGATCGAGAAATCCATGATGTGGGTGAAGTCTCCTGGAGCTTCCTGCAGTGCACAGGACAAACGTGATTTCAAGTCAGCTGCTCCAGGATTGAGTGGGAAATGTGATGGGAATAAGACAATGTTCTGGAAACTACAGAGGAAGTATTTTCAGTATAGACCTGAATTTTTTTTTAAAGTAGCAAATGAATGTGTGGTTATAATTAAATAAAGTGCTTGATTCATCTGGGGGGAAAAGGGGGGGGGGGGAGAAGAAATAAGTCCCTTCCCAGAAGAAAATTTCACTGTTTTCTTTTGCACTTATTGTCCCGAATGAACAGAAGGCCTATATTAGGGAAACAGCTTTCTCTGCCCAGCATCTGAGGTTTATTGGGGAAGGAAACTAACATGTCAGAGTTTACATGTGTTAGATCTTATACCACATTTATGCAAATTGCCTCATTTAATCTTCACAATAACTCTTTGGAGGAGATATATTTTCCTTGCCCTCATTTTACCAGAAAAACCTTGCTCTTTGTGTAGAAAGAGATAATTAAGAAGCAATAAAACGTTTTCATTATTTGTTTCCCATTGTTACTTGTTCAAATTATATTTGTTGAGCAACTACTGTGAATACAAATCATGGATCCATGAGACCCAAAAAGTATGCAAGACACAGTCCCATAAAGGATCAATGGGAGCTGAAACTGGTTTGGCTCAGTGGTAGAGCATCGGTCTGCGGACTGAAAGGCCCCAGGTTCAATTCTGGTCAAGGGCATGTACACTGGTTGCGGGCACATCCCTGGTAGGGGGTGTGCAAAAGGCAGCTGGTCGATGTTTCTCTCTCATCAACGTTTCTAGCTCTCTATCCCTCTCTCCTCCACTCTGTAAAAAATCAATAAAATATATTTAATTAAAAAAAAGGATCAATGGGAGAAAAAAAGGGGACATATATAATACTTTCAACAATAAAGATTTATTTTATTTTTTAAAACATACACACACACACTCCCAGCCTTCCTGGAGTGGAAAATCAGCCCAGCTCAGGGGAGAAAGTTCAGTACCTCATCACATTTGCAAACACAGTGCTGACTTAATGTTCCTCTTTCCTGTTATGCTGGGAGCCCCTAGAAGGTAGGACTTAAGCCTTTGCTGATCAATGTCATTAACTCACTGCCTAGTACAGTGCTGGGCATAGAGCAGATTCTCCCAGAGTATTTGATGAATAAATTAAATGACACAATAAGTGACTGAATAAATACCAAGATGAATGGGAGAGTTGTGAGGGCCCAGTGAGTTCAGAAAAGGTCTCTGGAAAAGGGAGATTGTGAGCTACACCTTGAGGGATTCAAGTCAATTGTACACACTCATCTGGGCTAGAGTCCACATTCTACCTGTTCAGACTTTAGACCTCCCTAAAGATAGCATTCCTGTCCCCCAGAGAACTCAGCCCTAAAGTGCCTCAGAAGGAAAGGACATCTCAGAATTCCTACTACATTTGGATCTGCTGACACCAGGGGTGTCAGTGACTTGGATGGAGGGTTGTCACCTTAGCATATCGCATTAGGGAAAACAAGAATCTTGTGTGGTCCAGGTTCAGGAGGGCTGACACTTTAGAAAGGCATAGGCCTTTGGGGGTAAACTGGGGAGGGGAGGCAGTTTAGGGTTGAGTTTTATGGGGGACAAGAATGTCATCACTTGAAGTGTTTGAAGAAGGTAGGCATACAAAGTAATGGAGTTCCCCTCAGAGTCAGGCCCAGGGTTGGGTTCCCTAATGTGCTCTGCTATTTAACTCCCTCAGCAACTCTATGAGACAGCTAGAATCATCTGTCTAACAGTAAGAAGATAGTTAACTCCACCGTCAAGGAGAATATTATGATATTCCCAATGAAATTTTATACTCAGAAAACTTGGCAAAATATCTCAAGAGTCTTAAAATATTTAAGCCTCTTTGTTCACTAATTTCTCTCATAGGACCCTATCCCAGGAAAATAATTAGAAATATGAACAAAGACTTACAGTTTATAGAAGAAAATGCACCAAAATGTTCACAGTGGTTAACTCTAGATGAGGACATTATAGCTGACCTTATTTTCCTCCTTATAATTGTGTACACTGTCTTAAAAATGCAAAATATTTGTAATAAGAGGGGAAGAAACATTAAAAACCAACCATTAGCCAAGGAACACTAGTTCCCTTCGGTTTGTGGAGCTGGTGGTCATCACGCCTTTTCTAAGGCGCCTCTGAGACGATTCAATGACCCTCTGGTTGTGCACCATCTCCAGGTGCTTATAATGTGAAAACTTCAGAAGTATTGAACGAACCAGTATCCTTTCAGAAGTCACAAAGACTTAAAAACCAAAAAGAATCTCAACAAAATCTTACTGTTGATAAAGATACTACCTTGCCTGCTTCAGCAAAAAAAGTTAAGACTTGGAATTAAAGATGGAATTTCAAAAGAATGATAGAGACTTGAAGCTGTTGGAAAAAGAGAAACGTGTCCTCTTGCAGGAATGCGGTACTCAGGATCTGGAAGCTGAGCTGAAGATGAAAGCAAGGCTCAGCGCTGCAGTCAAGGGGAAAAATTCTGTCTGCAAGCAATGCTACGCTGGAAAAGCAGCTTACTGAATTAACCAGGACTAACCAGCTACTCCAATCTAAGTTTTCTGAAGCTAGTAACCAGAAGAACACGAGAATTGTAAGCCTTGAGCTGATGAAGCTTAGAAACAAAAAGAGAAACTAAGATGAGAAGTATGATGGCTAAACAACAAGGCATGGAGGTGAAAGTGCAGGTTGCCCAGAAGAATCTGGAAGAGTCCCAAGGGAAAGTGGCACAGCTTGAGGGGTTTTACTCTGGTCGGTGATGTCACTGCCTCGGCTAACCCTGATTGGCTTCTTAGGACAAAGAACTGGCTGTCCTTATCTGTTCCTAAATCCTAAAGACTAAATTCTAAAGACTGGGGGGAGCCTGCAGGGTTGGTTCCCAGTCACACCTTGCTGGACATTGGAATGTGGCCCTATCTTGCCCATAATACAAAAGCAGAACTAAAGGTTATCTATAGTTTCTACCCCTGAAGCTATTGAGTCAGTGGGAGTCAATCTCCTGTAACTACCCTATTGTTTAAGCAAGTAAAGTAGTCGAAGTCAGATAGCAAGGTTAAAATTCAAACAGCAGTTTTTACCCAAGTATGATTGCTACCATATTTCAACCTCCTGGTTCATAGGTTGATGGTCAACCACTGAGCCATGCCAGCCCAGCTTAAAAAATTTTTTTTAAAAACAATCCAAACAAAAGTCTTTTTAAAATGAAAATATAATTGATTTTTTACAGAGAGGAAGGGAGAAGGATAGAGAGTTAGAAACATCAATGAGAGAGAAACATCGATCAGCTGCCTCCTGCACGCTCCCTACTGGTGATGCGCCTGAAACCAAGGTAGATGTCCTTCACCAAAATCGAACCTGCGACCCTTGAGTACAAAGGCCAATGCTCTCTTCACTGAGCCAAACCAATTAGGGCCAAACAAAAGTCTTTATGGAAAAACTATAAAGATTTACTAAGCATTTAAAGTGGTTAAGATTGCCCAGCCTAGCATGGCTCAGTGATTGAGCATTGACCTATGAACCAGAAGGTCACCATTTGATTCTTGGTCACAGCACTTTCCTAGACAGGGTACATGCCTGGGTTGCAGGCTTAATCCCCAATGGGGGCATGCAGGAAGTAGTCTATCAATGATTCTCTTTTATCACTGATGTTTCTATCTCTCTCCATCTTCCTTCCTCTCTGAAATCAATAAAAATATATTTAAAAAAATAAAGTGGTTAAGATTTATTAAGTGAAAATAACTTGTAGCTCTGTTTTGATGGTGACCCAAAATATCTATATCTATATCTATATCTATATCTATATCTATATCTATATCTATATCTATATCTATATCATCTATATCTATATCTATATCTATATCTATATCTATATCTATATCAATATCTATATCAATATCTATATCTATCTATATCTATATCTATATCTATATAGCTATATCTACATCTATATATCTATATCTATATATCTATATCTACACCTACATCTACATATCTATGTAGATGTAGATATAGATATAGATGTAGATAGAGATAGAGATAGAGAAGAGATACATAGATATAAAAGCCAAGTGACCGGAATGACGAAATGAACAGTGACCAGCACACTTCAGCAGCCAACCAGCCAGATTGGGGCCCCAGTAGGCCCCCACCAACCTCCCACAGCCCTTCCCCTGGCCAGCCCAGCCCCTATTAGCCCCCATCTGGATGGGTGGCTGGACCCCACCTGTGCACAAATTTATGCAGCAGGCCTCTAGTTTATTTATAAATTGACAGTGCTTATTCTTGGGGTGAAATAGAACTAAGAGTGACTTTCATTTTCTATCGTCACATTTCTGTGATTTTTGTTTATAACAAACATATATTACTTTCATAAACATAAAAATATTTTAAAATTATAGTTACTTACAGGAGTGGGCAAAAGTAGGTTTACAGCTGTCAGTATGTGAAACAGAGTTTATTTTTATATTTTATTAATTATTGTATTACTTATTTGTAGTACAACTATAAACCTACTTTTACCCACCTAGTATATGCAAGGGCTAGCAGCCAGCACAGAAAGGTTCAAAGATGATGTGTTACAGTGATGGTTGTTAAATCAAATTATTATTAAGGCTGATTGTGTCAAAAGAAAATTTCTAAAATTTCAATGTGTTTTTTTCTGTTAATCCTCACCCGATAATATTTTCTTCATTGATTTTCAGAGAGAATGGAACAGAGGAAATAGAGACAGAAATATCAATAGAGTGAGATATCAATTGGTTGATTGCCCTGACCCAGGCCAGAGATTGAGCCTGCAACTGTGGTATGTGCCCTTGATCAGAATTAAACCTGAGATCCTTCAGTCCCCATACTGATGTTCTATCCACTGAGCCAAACCAGCTAGGGATCAATGTTTCTGTTTTAACTAACTAAATGTATGTTGGTTTTTATCCAGCAATAGAAAACTGTAACATCCTCTAACATGTTATCTGTTTATTTTATTGATTTTAGAGAGAAGGGAGAGAGAGAAATATTGATGTGAGAGAGAAACATTGATGGATTGCCTTCTGTATATGTGGTTTTACTTCATGTAACATTACAACTGGCAAGGGTCAAGTTTATCATCTTTTTTTTAAATATATATATTTTATTGATTTTGTACAGAGAGGAAGGGAGAGAGAGATAGAGAGTTAGAAACATCAATGAGAGAAAGCATCGATCAGCTGCCTCTTGCACACCCCCTACTGGGAATATGCCCGCAACCAAGGTACATGCCCTTGACCAGAATCGAACCCGGGACCCTTCAGTCCCCAAGCCGATGCTCTATCCATTGAGCCAAACCGATCTCGGCAAGTTTATCATCTCTTTCCTCCAAGTCAGCACCCTCAATTAAATATAACATCCATGTCTATCTTACCTATTTATATGAAAGATTCCTGGGATAGATGAAGGTTAGTTAAAAAAAAAAAATTACCAGAAGGGAAAAGGTGCTTACAAGGAACCCAAAGAAGGAAGAAACAATGGGAGACATGCTGAAGAGCTACAGATATCCTATTGATTAAGCAGTATTTATTCTGAAAGGAAAGAGGAATGTTTGCCTCCCTAAGGAAGCATATTGGTGATGCTTAAAAATTGTGGCAATATCCTTCTGTATGGAAACATTACTTTTAAGGATCCTACAGGGCTGACGGAAGCCAAGGCTGTAGGTTCCACCCTGAACCTCTGCCCCATACAAGCAGAACACAGAGACTTTTAAGGCTACCAACTCAGGGAAGCTGCGGAAATGCCGAGACAAGGAAATAGATCACAAACAAGAGTGCCCATTGGAGGAGAAGCCAAGATGGTGGTGTGGGTGAGCGACTGGTCTGCCGCTCCCACAACAATTTAAAAATATGAAGGACATCTGTCATCCAGAGCCGAGGGGGGAGGTACTGGGTAGTTAATAGTCAACAATTAACATGATAATAAGAGCAATGAGGGACCAATGGGACTCTTGGGGTGTGACCGGCTGGAAAAATGGAAGAATGGCAGGCCCTGAGCAGCCAGGCCCGGAACAGCCAGGCCTGGAGCAGCAGCAGCCAGGCCCAGAACAGCAGCATCCAGGCCTGGCGCAACCAGGCCCAGAGCAGCAGCAGCCAGGCCCAGAACAGCAGCATCCAGGCCCAGAACAGCCAGGCCCAGAGTGTTGTGGGGTCGAACCCTGGGTTCAAAATGAAAGGAATGAAGGAGCAATGCAGCCAATTCGGGTACCAGAGTGTTATGTCCATCATCATAATGGACTCAGAGAAGGTCCTGTGTCCCTTCACCCAAAAGGACTGAGAGTTGCCCAGATGATAGCAAAGTGGGAGAAGAAAACTGAAGGCTACACAAGGGACTGAGGTGCCAACATAGAATCATCTGAAGAAATTAAAGACTGAAGTGGAAGCTACTTCTTTAATCATGTTCCTACTCATGCTAGCATTTGTTAGCTTCCAGTCTTCTGCAAAGTCCTGTGCAGCAAGTCCAAGGACTCTGAATAAATCTACACCAGCAACAAAAGAGACTCATTTAGTAGCTAAAAATATTAATATGTCCATAACTCTGAGTTCTCATTTGGTTGTTATGCATTGGCATTGTTGTATAATAGCCAGAGTTTTGCTCTTGACATTCAAGTTTTGAAAATTCATGTATGTGGTTTAGTTTTTGCATTGGCATTGTTTGCAATTGTTTTTAATTTTAGAGCCCTATTATTGATGTTTAAATTTTATTTTAATTAGTAAAAAAGGGTGGGATGTGGAGAGCCGCCTGGGAAGGCACATGGACATTCTTTTAATTCTTATCAGCTGAGCCCGAGAGCACTGGCAGAATCCTCTTATTAGTACTGATTTCTTAATCCATGTGCTTGAAATGAGGAACAAATGGGATCTTGACTCACCCAGGTCTTGATATGCTAAATATTTTACCAAGGAATGGGGAGCTTACCCAGATTTGGATGAGTGGGATGTGGGCACACCCGAAGCTCCTTTTGACCTTAAACTCCCCTTTGGAAACCAATTTAAAAAAAACAAGGGAATTAAAAAACTGATGAACAATATTAACTGTTGAATATAATATAATCAGAGGTATGAAAGGGGAGTGGACTGATGATTCTCAGGGAAAAGAGGAGTGGGGGGTGCGGGAAGAGACTGAACATAAACTGTGCACCTATGGATGAGGACAATGGGGGGTGGGGAAAGGGCAGAGGGTGAGGTAGGAACCTGGTGGAGGGGGAAAAAATGAGGAACTTTTGTAATAATATGAACAATAAAGGTTTATTAAAAAAATAGCCGAACCCGGTTGGGCTCAATGGTAGAGCGTCGGTCTGCGGACTGAAAGGTCCCAGGTTCGATTCCAGTCAAGGGCATGTACGTTGGTTGCAGGCACATCCCCGGTGGGGGGTGTGCAAGAGGCAGCTGGTCGATGTTTCTCTCTCATTGACGTTTCTAGCTCTCTATCTCTCTCCCTTCCTCTCTGTGAAAAATCAATAAAATATGTTTAATAAATAAATAAATAAATAAATAAATAAATAAATAAATAAAATAAAAAGAATGAATATAATCCACATGTACTGACATTGAAATATATGTAAACCAAGATGTGATCCACTTTTGTAAAATTAAATCCATGTGTGTGTAATATATATATATATATATATATATATATATATATAGAGAGAGAGAGAGAGAGAGAGAGAGAGAGAGAGAGAGAGAGAGAGAGAGAGTCTGTGTGTGTGTGTGCGTGTGTGTGTGTGTGTCTGCAAGGATAAACTCCAAATCATTAAAAAGGGAGGCTTCTAGGAAAATTGGAGTTTGGTATGGTAGGGATTGTAGGGACATCTGTTTATCAGCTGAGTTGAATCTCTATTACACAAGAGAATAAATAATCAGCAATGCCAAGAAAACTAGCATAGAAACCCTACATACAGCCAAATTAACAACCGGTTGACCAGCTTAGCAACTAAACAAAGAAAATAACGAGGTACAAGGGCCACAGGGTGATGGAGAATATCATGAAGAAAATGCGGCATCACTGTGGTTAGGGTATAATTGCCTTTGGCGCTCAACCCCCATGTGTCAGTTATCTGCATTCAGGTTCCATCACTGCCCTGAGTCTCCTTTCCTGCCAAGTGTGATGTGAAATGAGATAATGTGGTAAAGCTCGGAGTAATATGATTCTTCATGACATTTCGCTGACTAACGACTTGCCAACCCTGTAATTTCAGAGATGAGATCAAATAGGACCATACTGTTACTCCCAGATTTCGTGCTCCCCAAAGGCCACCAGGGAGCCGAGTCCGATGCAATAGCTGGAAGCCTGTGTTCCATGCTAGCATGGGCTCTGTCCCACTTACATCGACTGTGGCGGGGCGGAAGAGAGCGAGCTTCAACAGATCCAGGGGTTATAGGGGTGGTGATGTCACTGCTTTGGCTGACCCTGATTGGTTGGGTGAGGGCTAGGGTCCAGTTACACAAAATGGAGGATCAGGAATTCTGCCCTGCCCCACAGTACAAAATGGAGTTAGGAGTTAGCCCCACCCTGCCCTGCCCTTTCAATACCAATGTGAATGCAGAACTTGAGGAATAGTTAGGGGACTCTGAAAAAGATTTGTTTTTAAGTATATTTTTATTGATTTCAGAGAGGAAGGGAGAGGGGAGAGATAAAAACATATATGATGAGAGAGACTCATTGATTGGCTGCATCCTGCACACACCCTACTGGGAATTGAATCTGCAACCTTGGCATGTGCCCTTGATGGGATTGAACCTGGGACCCTTCAGTCTGCAGGCTGATGCTCTATCCACTGAGCTGAACTAGCTAGGGCTGGGGAAAAGATTTTTTTTTTTTTTTTTACACAGAGGAGGAGAGAGGGATAGAGAGCTAGAAACGTCGATGAGAGAGAAACATCGACCAGCTGCCTCTTGCACACCCCCTACCAGGGATGTGCCCGCAACCAATGTACATGCTCTTGACCGGAATTGAACCCGGGACCTTTCAGTCCACAGACCGATGCTATACCACTGAGCTAAACCGGTTTCGGCTGGGAAAAGATTTTTAAAAGAAGCTGACATGAAAAATTTTTGAACTTTTAAAGCCTGGGAAAAAAGAAGAGAGTAAAGGAAAGGACTCATACCCTGAAGGAAAGGGAATTAGCAATTTAAGGTAAGGATCTTAATTGATTTTCCCCTTTGGTAGAAAACTTCAAGATATGAATGCCAGCATGGCTCAGTAGTTGAATGTCGACCTATGAACCAGGAGGTCACAGTTCCATTCCCTGTCAGAGCACATGCTCAGGTTGCAGGCCTGATTCCCAGTGTGGGATATGCAGGAGGCAGCTGATCAACGATTCTCATCATTGATGTTTCTATCTTTCTCTTCCTCTCTGAAATCAATAAAAACATTTTAAAAAGAAAGAAATGGATGCTTTAAAAGGATTCATCAAGAGAGGTGGTCAGTTGTAGAAGCAATAATTAAAAACAGTGAGACTGGAAGAGAAGTGATCTGGAAGAGGTCACATCTAATGGCATGAGGTCTAATTAAACCAGGCATTAGATAAAGTATTGTGAGAATTACTAGGGGGTGAGTATTTGACAGGGTTTTTAGATAGCAATATACTACCAAAGGCTGAGTAAGGCCGGAAGGAAATACTTAAATCCACATTTTTCTTTAATTTTTAAAATAAATCTTCATTGTTCATATTATTACAAAAGTTTCTCATTTCCCCCCCCCCCCACCAGGTTCCCATCCCACCCTCTGCCCTTTCCCTACCCCCATTGTCCTCATCCATAGGTGCACAGTTTATGTTCAGTTCTTTCCTCACCCCCCACTCCCCTTTTCTGTAAGGTCTGAGGGGCAGGAAACTGACCACTAAGGAGTTTTAAAGTAAAGTTTATTCCCTAGTAATGAACGGGACTCATTACGGAGGTAGAGAAATCAGAATTGAAGGAGTTGGGAGGGGGGATGGACCCAGCCAGGCTGCCACCTGGACATGGAGGATCAGCAGCATGTGGCTGGTCTGGGGGTCTTTTTAAAGGGAGGAACAGGAGAGGATTGGACCCAGGGCAGAACAGGAAGGGGTGGGCTCCAGGACACTTTGGCACGCGCTGATTGATGGCTCAATGTCTTGGAGATGTCTCTGTGACAGATGCCAGTAATGTCATAACTCTACCCACCAGTTGGGAGGAGGGAGAACCTTATATTCCCTCCCCCCCTCCCCCCCGCGAAAATCATCAGTCCACACTCCTTCCATACCTCTGATTCTATTATATTCACCAGTTAATATTGTTCACCAGGTTTTTTAATTCCCTTGGTTTTTAGATACACTTGTTGATAGTTATATATTTGTTGTTCATAATTTTTATCTTTATTTTCTTCCTCTTCCTAAAGAACCCTCTTCAGCCGAAACCGGTTTGGCTCAATGGATAGAGCGTCGGCTTGGGGACTGAAAGGTCCTGGGTTCGATTCCGGTCAAGGGCATGTACCTTGGTTTCGGGCATATCCCCAGTAGGGGGTGTGCAAGAGGCAGCTGATCGATAACTCCCTTTCATCTGACTCTCTCTCATCGATGTTTCTAACTCTCTATCTCTCTCCCTTCCTCTCTGTACAAAAATCAATAAAATATATTAAAAAGAAAGAAAAAGAAAAAAAAAAGAACCCTCTTCAGCAATTCATATAATTCTGGTTTGGTGGTGATGAACTCCTTTAGCTTTTTTTTTTTTATTATTATTATTTGTGAAGCTCTTTATCTGGCCTTCGATTCTGAGTGATAGCTTTGCTGGGTAGAGTTAAATCCACATTTTTTCAAAAGCAAGGTTAAAATAGGACTTAATTGTTCATAGAAACTACCAGGAATGATAAAAAAATATATATATATATATATTGTTAGAACTTCTTACAGTAAAAAATCAGTTAAAAGAACTAGAAACAGCTCTAGCCCGTTTGGCTCAGTAGATAGAGCAGCGGCCTGTGGACTGAAGAGCTCCATTCCGGTCAGGAGCACCTGCCTGGGTGCAGGCTCCATCTCCAGTGGGGGGGGCGTGGGGAGGTGCAGGAAGCAGCTGATCAACGATTCTCTCTCATCATTGATGTTTCTATCTCTCTCTCCATCTCCCTTCCTCCCTGAAATCAATAAAAATATGTTTTTTAAAAAGAATTTAAAAAAATAACTAGAAACATGAGGTAATGCTGTAAAAGGACTGGCCTAATTTAAAAGGACTCAGGAAACCCAAAGTCCTCTGCAAGGCAAGGGAGCAGAAGAAGGAAGTAACCAAGGTAAGCCTGAGGGATGAAGAAAGCACAGATAAGAGCATTCAATTCCTTTGAAAAACAGGGAGGGTCATTGACTCAATTCAAGAATAAAACCCAGTTCCTGGGAAACCACAAACATAGATAAGAACAAAGATGCGAACACAAAAGAATTAAGGAGAGGTGCCAAAGACTGCCCTTTGACATTAGATAAAGAAAAAGACTAATTGAAAAGACCCAAAGCATGCAAACAGCTGACTTCTCAGAACCACTGGTTTCACCCCACAGTTTTTCAGGCCTCACAAGTGACCCCTGGGCCCATGAGGTAACACACACCCTGCCCAGGCTGCCCAGGGGTCTTCTAAGGGCAAAGGGTGGGATTATAATTGCTTGGAAGTGGCCAGCCCTTCCCTCTCCTTATTCCTGGGAATAAGCTGCAGCCAAAGTCTTTCTGCGGAGGCTCTGACCCCTGAGGATCCCCACAGCTCCACCCCAGTCAGTCTTGGTGAAGCCCCCTTGGGGGCATGCTCCGCAGCTCCACCCAAGTAAGACTCCAGTTTTAACCAGATACTGAACCACCGTGTTTCCCCGAAAATAAGACCTAGCGCATGGAAAGATAAGACATCCCCTGAAAATAAGACCTAGCGCAACTTTGGGAGAAAAAATTAATCTAAGACACTGTCTTATTTTCGGGGAAACAGGGTAGGTGGCAAGCCCTCCCTCCCTGCTCCCGCCCTCCCACCAACCCCCCCCCCCCCCCCATTTTCCTTTTCGATCCCACTGGCCTCTTCCTTTACCACCGTTTCCAAATGCAAGAGAGCTTTTCCTCTAGTCTGGCCCACCACAAGACACGGACAGGATGACAGAAACTCTGCAGCCCACCATCCCAGCAAGATCTGTCTTCCCCTTGGAAGCTTAAAGCCCTCTGGAGCCTGTTCTGGGAAAAGGCAAGATGACTTTAGAGGACCACTGAGCAGGTGCTACTCATGGTTCTCATTTCAGGTGTACAGCAAAATGTGGGACTTTTAAAAATAGATAAGTGTTTATTGATTTGGGAGAGAGAGAGAGAAACATTGATTGGTTGCTACCCACACCCCAGGCATGTGCCCTGACCAGGAATCAAAGTGGTGACTTTTTGGTGTGTGGGACAATGCTCAACCAACTGAGCCACAGCGGCCATTGTAAGATGTGGGATTTTTTTTTTTTTAATACATTTTATTGATTTTTTTTACAAAGAGGAAGGGAGAGGGATAGAGAGTTAGAAACATGGATGAGGGAGTCATTCTAATATGGCTGACAGGTAAACACCCAGCCACAGCCGCACACAACAATTTCAACAAAATACAACTAAAATATAAATGGACATTACCCAGAACTACAGGGAAGTCGACTGACTGGAAATTCTACACGAGAAGTAAAGAGAAAACCAAAAGGAAGCTTGGAGGAGCTGTAAAAGCCTAAGGTACGGAGACACGCGGCACGCGTGAAGAGGATGAAGCTGGAGAGGACGGAGCCGGAAAGGAGGGAGGCTGAGTGCCTGGCTGGCGTTCCCTAGCAGGAAGGAGATAAACGCTCCGACTGTGCTGGGCCCCAGTTCTGACTGCTCTGAACCCTAGTTCTAGGTCAGACCCAGGGACCCAGGGAGCTGGGCTGTAAGGCGAAACCCCAGGGGAGCGGCAAAAGGAGATCCTGGAGGCGGGCACACTGCGCGCAGAGAAGGGATGGTTGGCTGTGCCATGGAATTGCCCTGGCAAGAAGGAGATAGGGGCTCCAGACTGCTCTGAACGCCACCTCCAATCCTACTACCAACTGAACTGAACCCCAATACCGGGCTCATTGGGGGAGAGCATAGACCAGGGGTCCTCAAACTTTTTAAAGTGGGGGCCAGATCACGGTCCCTCAGAGAGCTGGAGGGCCGGACTATATGAACTACTAATTCCTACTGTAACACCTCGGCTGCGCTCACTGCCCAAAAAACCTGGCGGGCCGGATCAGACTCCTCTGCGGGCCGCATGTGGCCCAGGGGCCGTAGTTTGAAGATGCCTGGCATAGACTGTTTGGCAGCAGGCAAAAATTGAGGGCACCTTTCTCTCAGAGGTGCTGGCAGCGAGTACTGAAGGACCCGCCTAGGGAGGGGCTGACAGAAGCCAAAGCTGCAGGCTCCACCCTGAAACCCCGCCCCATCCAAGCAGAACACAGAGACTTTTAAGGCTACCAACTCAGGAAAGCTGTGAAAATGCCGAGACAAAATAGATCACAAACGAAAGAAATGGAGGACAAAAAGCGACTGGATATAGAGTTCAAATCTACGCTTATAAGGTTTTTCAAGAATTTCCTAGAAAAGATGGATAAGACCTATGAGGATATGAAAAGGGGTCAACTAGAATTATTAAGGAATCAACAAGAAATGATAAGGGACCAACAAGAAATAAAGAATATATTGACTGAAATAAAAAAATATTATACAGAGTCCTAAAATCAGAATGGAAGATTGCAAGAATCAAGACAAAGATCTAGAACACAAAGAGCCAGAAGACACTCCTCCGCAGAAGCTAGAAGGCAAGAGAATCCAGAAAATTGAAGATAATGTAAGAAACCTCTGGG